AAGATGAAGGAAAAAAAAAAAAAAGGAAAGGAAAAAGAAAAGAAAAGAAAAACTAAAAAATTCGAAAAATAAAAAAATAATATTAAAAAATTAGTTCGGGGTAAAATTGTCATGCGTGTATCTGGTTTGATTTTTGGTGGTCAAAAAATAGTTCGGGGTAAAATTGTCATAGGTGTACCAGGTTTGGGGTTTTTAGTGGTCAAAAAATAGTTCGGGTAAAATTGTCACGATGTACTAGTTTGAGGTTTTTTATGGTCAAAAAAATAGTTTGGGGTAAATCTGTCACAAGTGTACCAGTTTAGGGTTTTTCGTGGTATTAACACAAAAAGAATTATAATTTGTGAGTGTGAAAGTTATATATATGTGTGTCACTGCCTCAACCACATTGATAAACGTACTTTTTTTTGGGCAAAAGTACATCAGAAGTGCCATAACTTGTGTACGGCGATCACTTTGGTGTCATAACCTTTTTTCGGATTACTTTGGTGCCAAGTCGGAGGAAAAGAGATCACTTTAGTGCCAATTTGGCAGGAAATCCGACGTGGCATTTTTTATTCATTTTTTACGCCGACGTGGCTCGCCGGAGGCTGAGTCAGTGTGTACAGTAAGCATTTTTTATTTTAAATAAATTTTTCCAGCATGTACAGTCAGCATTTTTAATTTTAAATAATTTTTTTCGTTTTTTTTTCCTCTTTTTTTTCTTTTCTCCCCTCGCCGGCCGGTTGCCGGTGGCCGGCCGGCCACCGGCGAAGCCCGGGAAGGGCTGGGCGAGGGCGGCCTTGCCCATGGCCGGCGAGGGCGGCCTTGCCCATGGCCGGCGAGGGCGGCCTCGCCGGATCCGGGCGAGGCGACCCTCACCGGCGACAGTGAGGCCGCCCCTCGCCGGCCCAGCGAGGGCGGCCCTCGGCCGGATCCGGCGAGGTCGACCCTCGCCCGCCCGGGCGAGGGCGACCCTCGCCCCCGGCGAGGCTTCCCTCGCCCGACGCCGGCGAGGGTCGCCCGAGCCGGAGTCCGCTCGAGCGACCCTTGCCGGCGTCGGGCGGAGGAAGCCCTCGCTGGGGCGGGCGAGGGTCGCCCTCGCCCGAGTCGGGCGTGGGCGACCCTCGCCCGAAGCCGGCGAGGGTCGGCCTCGCTGGGCCGGCGAGGGCGGCCTCGCTGTCGCCGGCGAGGGTCGCCTCGCCCGGATCCGGCGAGGCCGCCTCGCCGGCCATGGGCAAGGCCGCCCTCGCCCAGCCCTTCCCGGGCTTCGCCGGTGGCCGGCGAGAGGAGAGGAGAAAAGAAAAGAATAAGGAAAGAAGAGGGAAAAAAAAGGAAAAAAATTATTTAAAATTAAAAATGCTTACTGTACACGCTGGAAAAAATTATTTAAAATAAAAAATGCTGACTGTACATGCTGACTCAGCCTCCGGCGAGCCACATCGGCGTCAAAAATGAATAAAAAATGCCACGCCGGATTTCCGGCCAAATTGGCACTAAAGTGATCTCTTTTCCTCCGACTTGGCACCAAAGTGATCCGAAAAAAAGTTATAGCACCAAAGTGATCGCCGTACACAAGTTATGGCACTTCTTGTGTACTTTTGCCCTTTTTTTTTATCGAATAATTGTCTGATTTATTAATGTCGGAGCACGATTGTTATTTTTTTCTCCTTGCTGCAATTCTAGTTTCAGCATGTCCTTTTTCCCAAAAGCAGAATTGAGGTTTTTCCTAATGCAAAATGAAAAGGAAATTGCTTCTTCTTGCCGGTAATTGAAAATTACTAGTAGGAGATGATGTGCCATCTTAACTTTCCTTCAATATTTATTCTTACTATACAAAAAAGAAAATATGTCCAATAAAGAAAATTTCCTTGGAACGACTAAAATAAATGAAACCAAGAAATCGAGCAAACATCCCATAAACTAACGTGGTATATTGGCGAAATGTGAACATATGGATCACACGGCTTCAACGGCGCTCGCTCATGTAGAGTATTGTAAGCCGAATGCTTTGTTAAAGAGTGCACGATGGCGGTAGCACACGGCCTTCCCATAGGGGACAAAAAGTAATTGATAGAAGATAAATGATTAAATTACAATTCTTAATCTACTATAAGAATAGCAATATGTTATGAACAAATAAATAAATAAAAATAATTATAAATTGTTACGGGGATCATTCCTCTAAGAATTAATGGCTTACGACATAGAGTTACTCTCATGGTGACCCAAAGAATATTATGCTGGCAACGCCCTCGACAGAATGCTCGTTCTATGAATGTTGTGGTGCTAGGGCTCATCAAGCAATAAAATGGAATCTCGAAGTGGGTCCCGTTGTTTCTGGATACGTTTAGTATCGTGAGTTCAGCTAATTAATGATAATGTGCGGCATCTTTAATTAGGGATTAATACAGCGCCTAATCCAACCCAGCTTTTCTAGGGAGACGAAGGAAGAGTGGGCGAAAAGTTGCCCGAAAGGGTCAAGAGAAAAATACAAAAAAATAAAAATAGAAAAAGACATGGAAAAGCGTTCTCACGTGAGTCAGCACATGGGTCAAAGAGCAGAATTTGAACTCATCCTAAAGATCCATGCAATGGGTAACCACCGAGGTTTGTCTCAGTAGGTGGAAAATAGGGATGAAGACGTTTAGTTTCATATGTGAGTTTCGACTCTCATATTCTGTAAAGAAGCAGAGCAAAAGTTTGAGAGTGAGTTGAGAGGTAGAATAGAACAGACAAAAAAAAAAATTAATTAGAAATCGTGAGTAGTTAAGTGTAAGTAACTTTAATGAAAAGGCTAGTCATTAAAGTGAAGAGATCAACGCAAATATTCCGTGGTGAATAGTACGTACGTGATGAGGGGGCTCTTCGGTGGAGTACTTTTTGTGGAAAATGCAGCAAATTCAATCTTTGCAATATGAAGGACATATTTTTAGTTATCTAAAGTCTCATGTGTCATCATGAGAAGTGATTCTTTAGGGATATTTTGTTATTATATATTTATATAGATCAATTGTGAATTTATATATGTTTAACTATAGATTTAGCTATATTATAATCATGAATGATTTAAATATTGGAGAATCTCCCTTCTATGCAAAAGCTCAAAAGTGAAATTCAGAACAGATGTCGTCTACGTAGCCAGAGCCATATGGACAAGCACGAGAAAGAAACTCGAAAGAAATTGGGCGTGTGAAAAGGTGCACCTTTGTATGTTTTTGTAATCATAGTGTCCTCCACCTTATTTTTAAAGCCATCGACTTTATTCATTGTAACTTGGAAGCTGCGGCAGCTGCGAAGTTGCCTATACGCGTTTTTTATGGCAAATGGGATCAAATTCAAGTATGTGAAGTGTAATATTTTTTAGCAAGGATTTTTACAAACTAATGCCCTAGAGACACTAGTTAAATTAAACATCCGCACATAATTTTTTTTTATCATTTTGAAAGTATTGTTTTTATTATTTTATGCATAATCGATATAGGGCTAACAAGTGCCTCGTGGGTACTCGTGAACGAGATCTTTCTAATAATAATCCTCGGCATCCCCATAACATGTCCTATTCATTCTTTGGAAGCAAATGTTTCAAAAATCTTCTAATAAGGCCACTTACTCTCTAAGTTGGAAACAATGTATTCCCATGGTTGTTGATGTTTGAACTGATCTTTATGGTCTCTAGATTAGATCCACATACTCCAAAACTCTTAGGCCACGTTTGGTAGTCGGGAAAAAATTCGAGATAGGATAAATTTTATCATATCCCGTATTTGGTGCCTACTCAAGATAGGATAAAGTCGAATATATGAAAGATATAGGTCGGATAAAATTATTCCATGGGGGAGGTAGGATAAGGGTGGATAGGATTTCTAATATCTATAATATAAAAGTTATTTTTCTCGAATAACGAACTTGTTAAATTAATAAAATTAAAATATCATTTGAATATAAATAATATTTAAATTTTAATATAAAAAAATTCAAAATAACAAAAAAAAATAAATTCATTTTTTTATTCTTATTTTTATTTATATATTCAAATTTTTTTTCTATCTTATGATATAAATTTCATATATATATATATATATACATACACATTTAGTATTTATATTTATTACATATTTTAGGCATATTTGGATAGTTTACTATTTAATAAAATTTTATTAGAGAATGATGGAAGGGGAAGAAATAAAAAAGAAAATAATTAAAAGAGAGAGGGAAAAAAAATGAAATAGGTAAGAGTGTCGTGAGAAATTTTTATCATCTCCGTTTGTGCAATTTTTAGGTTCATTTACATTGATATAACGTTCATAACAAATAATGGACATGGTAATATGTGAAAATGTCCGACTTTATTACTGCGATTCACCAAACAGTAGATAGGATATAGCAAATCCGTTGGATTTCATATCATATCCTATCCAATCCTATCTTATCCTATCAAATCCTATCATGACTAGAAATCCGGATGACCAAACGCAGTCTTAGGATGTTTTTATTTCACGGAGAACTCAAGATTTGGAAAACACTTTCTAAAAAATGATAGGTTATATCGCTCACGAAAATGAATGAATGAAAAATATATTCATCATTTGTAGAAATAGTCAGGTATGAATTGATGTTGACAATAAAAATATTTTGCATTGATTAATTTTTCTGAGCGATATAACTAATCATTATTTCCAAATCTTAAGTTTTCCGTAAAATAATCACACCTTAAAAATCTATTGGTCGGTTAAATAGATTTAAATTTAGCCAATTAATTGGTAATGGTGGGCTCATATGTCGAGTCTTTTTAAAATTAGTAATATTTCAAACGGTCCTCTAAAAAGTTTGAAAAGTCTTCGTCGGGACTCGTGAACTTAATATTAAAGTCGCCAACCTGTATCAAGATCTGCAAAACATCTTCGGATTCTTGCGAAATCGCATCCAGTCGGTACAATGTCCTAGATGAAAAAGTTTTTTTATTTGTCAAAAGATGAAAAAGTATTTCCACATTGCCTATTAAAAAGAGAGAGAGAGGGGGCGACCCTGCTTATTGCGAAGCGAGCTCCTATGGCGAACTCAGAGGCAGGAACGAGCACCAACAATACATTTGGAGGTGAATATCAGGTATTCTTGAGTTTTAGAGGGCCGGATACTCGTCGTGGATTCACCAACAGCCTCTACCATGCCTTGGTAGATGCTGGGATTTCCGTTTTCATTGATGATGAAGAGCTTCGCCCTGGTGGAAGAATTAGTAGCGACCTTCTGCAGGCAATTGACAACTCCAAGCTCTACATACCCATTTTCTCCACAAATTATGCTTCGAGTCATTGGTGCCTTCGTGAGCTTGCAAAGATGGTGGAGAACACCTCTAAGTCTAAAGAAGATGGTAGTAAGAAGGTGATATTGCCCGTCTTTTATGACGTGAAACTTGATGATGTGCAGCTGAAAACCCCATTGTATCGCAATGCCATACTGAATTTGGAGCAAAAGATGGCAGATCAAAAGAAGAAGTTCAGCTCCAAGGATGTAGAAACGTGGCGGCAGGCTCTCAGAGAAGTTGATGGCACCAAGGGGTGGGAGCTGGAGAAATATCCAGGGTAATTATCTAGCCGTGAATGTAAAAATCATTTTTTTACAGTTAGACTATAGATCTAAATTCTAATAATAATTCATTATTTATATTCCCACTTAGATTTCCTAGATTTAAATGAATGCATCAAATTCTTCTTTATTTTTCTTAAATTAGAAGATATCCAATTTTTTTCTAACCTAATAGGATTATTATAATTTCATTTTTGACCTAATGTCATTTGTATAAATATTTGGTTTTGCTTCATCCTTTTTATACTAAGTTGATCCATATCTGCAATTAGATTGTTAATTTCCTTGTTGTTTTCCAACCTTGTTAATTTTAGTTTAGTTGTATCATGATTATTGGTTGATACTTTTTACTTACATTACAATATTTCCCATGCAATATATACAATTCACGTCAAACGTGAAATTTTAGTGGTCCCATACATTAACAACTTTATGAGAATTAATTGCTATCAAATTAAAAGAAGCATGAGTTATTATTCGAAGTTACAATGAAATTTCAATAAAATAAACCTTAAAGTGTGACACAGAATATACTTTGAATTTGTTGCTACTGGTAATATATGTTTTGGGTAGTAATATTAGTTAAACAAAAACAAAAAATACTAAAAGAATCACCACAATGCCAATAGATGATTAAAAGTATATCTAGTAGTTGATGAACTCTATTGGATACACTAAATGTTGATTGGTATTGTATCGATCGCTTTTTCTCTGGTGAATCCAAACATATATGAATTTATCCAATATACGTGGAGTCTTATTTATCATCGCCAACAATACGGGAGAAAAATACTAGAAGTGCCAAAATTTGTGTACGGCGCTCACTTTAGTGCCAAAAGTTTTTGCCGGCTCACTTAAGTGTCAAATCGGAGGAAAAACGATCACTTAAGTGCCAACGACGAGAAATTCCTGCCAAATTAATACGTGGCTTTTATAATTAAAATTTTAATCTGAGTTGGATTTTTTTAAAAAAAATAAGTCTACGTGGCATTTCCATGTATACATTTAGATTTTTTAAATATTTTTTCTGATTTTTTTTCCTTCTTTTCTTTTTTTCTTCTCTTTCTTCTTCTTCTACCTCCGGTCACCGGAGGTCAACCAGCCGCCTGGCCTTGCCCAGACGAGGCCGCTGTCGCCTGCCACAGGCGAGGCCCGGCTGACCCTCGCCTGGCGAGGGCGGTGAGCCCAGGCGAGGCAAGGCCGACCCTCGCCAGATCCGGGGAGGCCGGCTGTCGTCGTGGCCACGGCGGCCTCGCCCAGATCCGGTGAGGCCGGCTGTCGCCCGGGGGAAGGCGACGCCCCACGAGGCCACAGTGACGGCCGGCCTCCCCGGATCTGGCGAGGGTTGGCCTCGCCTCACCTGGGCGAGGGCGAGCCCTGGTGACGGCCGGCCTCGCCGGATCTGGCGAGGGGAGCCTTTGCCAGATCTGGCGAGGGGAGCCTTCGCCAGGGCTTGCCGTCACCCAGGCGAGGCGAGGCCGCCCCTCTCAGGGGCTCGCCCACCCTCGCCTAGGCGAGGGTCGGCCGGGCCTCGCCTGTGGCGGGCCACGGTGGCCTCGTCCGGGCGAGGCTAGGCGGTTGGCCGTGGCCGGTGGCCAGCCTCCAGTCATCGGCGGTGATTGGAGGTAGAAGAAGAAGCAAGAGAAGAAAAAAAGAAAAGAAGGAAAAAAAATCAGAAAAAATATTTAAAAAATCCAAGTGTACATGCTAAACTACGTCGTTTTGATATGTACATGCTGACTAAACCTCCGGCGAGCCACATCAGCTTCATAAATTAATAAAAAAATGCCACGTCGGATTTCCGGCCAAACTAATCGGAGTTGGCACTTAAGTGATCGTTTTCCAAAAATTTTAGCATTGAAGTGATCCAAAAAAAACTTTTGGCACTAAAGTGAACGCCGTACACAAGTTTTGGCACTTCTGCTGTTCTTCTCCCCCAACAATAGCTTCGTTGATTAGATATCAGTCAATTACTTATGTAATTCATTTTTCTTGTAGAAGCAAAATCTATTATATAGTTTGCTCAAAAAGAGAGAAAGTTGGTTTAACCATCCCTCTCGCGTGTGCTCACATTCAATTACAGATTTAAATATTTACAAGAATTAGAGATGGAAAATTGGAGATTTGCTAAAGTAACTATGAAATGTAAACTAAAGGGTGAATCTCGGACATGAGAATGCCATTATGACTCAACCTCTCCAAACCTTTACTTACTTGTATATATGATAATTTTTTTAGTTTATAGAAGTGAAAACTCAAGACATTTGATGTAAAATTATTTTTCTTCTTTGAAGTGAAATAATAATGCAGTGATAAATTTGAGTGTCTTTGAGCACGATTAACATTCAAAAGAATGAACTTACACAACTTAATATTATTTCGTATATTTATCTCGGTGAGATACAAAAACACTTTTTCTTACACTGCTTTTTATATTGGATTCTTTCGTGGGGTTCATTCTTACATGCAATAATAAAGTATCAACGTTAGATTCCTGGCTCCATCACTTTCCCTGATTAGAAATCTACCTTTTGATGAGTTTATGAAATTGATTGCAAAAGAGATGCGACAAAGACTTGTTGTATATTTGAATAAGAACCACTTGGTTATATAAATAATATATTCTGATTATGGTATACGCTCATAAGATCAACGTTTCTTACAAACTTGATCATTATCTGAACTCCTTCCAACATGCTAACAGTATTTAAGGTAATCAGATTGAAAATTGTCTACGGTTGCATAATGAGTTTTACCCTCCAAAAAAGTTTTGACCTCGCGTTCCCACCCGGTTTCTTAGTATATGGTTGGTCAACATGCAGGGAAATGAATTTGTTACCTTTTCTCATTTGAAACTGTTCGACTTTGTGGCAGCTACGGGGATCTTATCAAGTTGGTTGTTGACGAAGTTGTGGATAGGCTCATGACAAGACAGAGAAAAGTGACCGAAGATATAGTTGGAATGGAGGATCGAATAGCAGCCGTAAACAATTTATTACACATCGACTCCGACTCCGGTGGTGTGCGGCTTATTGGAATTTATGGGATGGGCGGCATTGGTAAAACAACACTTGCCAAGATTATCTTCAACCAACTATGTCATCTCTTTGGGAAAAACTGCAGCTTTCTTGACGATGTAAGAGAAATGGCAAAAACCAAGGGCTTAGTCAAGCTGCAAAAACGATTATTGTCCGATACCTCAAATTCTAGAGTGGCTCGCAGCATTGGTAACACCGATCATGGGATCAGTACAATTGGAGAAACAATTTGCAACAAGAAGGTACTAATTGTTTTAGATGATGTTGATGATGGTAACCAAATCCAAGAACTAATCGGAATGAACTCTTTGTATCCCGGTACTAGGATACTTGTCACCACTAGGGACAAAAGTGTCTTGAAAATCAGGGGATTTCACTATGAAATCGTGCCTTATGAAATGGAGGGGTTGAGCAGTGAAGATGCACTTCAACTTTTTAGTAGGCATGCCTTCAATGATAACTCTCCTCCTGCCGCTTACTATAGTCTTTCAAAAGACATTGTCTCTACTGCAGGTGGACTACCTTTAGCTCTTCAAGCAATAGGTTCATCGCTTTTTGTTCGAAAAAAGAAAAAAATATGGGAAGAGATGTTAGAGAAGCTAAGGAAAACACCAAATAGGGACGTCTTGGGAAAGCTAAGGATTAGCTATGATGCCTTAGAAACGGATCAACAACAAATATTTCTTGATGTTGCATGCTTTTTCATCGATGTAGATAAGACTTATCCAATCTACATGTGGGAAGATTGTGGATTTAGCCCAGAGTATGCTATTGATGTCCTTATTAACAGGTGCATGATAAAGGTTATAAACAATAATAAGTTTTGGATACATGATCAGTTTAAAGATCTTGGAAGAGCAATTGCTAATCAAGAGCGTACCAGATTGTGGGCCACAAATGACATCATTCGCGAATTAAGATCAACAGAGGTAAAGTATGACCAAACTTAATTTGAATAGAAAATTACTTATCGTGTTCTTAATTGAGGATTCACATTTCCGAATTGAGAACCACTCTTCTGTTTCATTTTTTTCTTCTCTCGACGAAATAAAATTCGTGGGATATTGACAAATTCCTGCTCTTGCTCCTCAATGTCATTGGCAGATCAAGGAAAGCATTCGAGCACTCCATTTGCCATCTATGGGGATTAAACATCCTATAACTGTCACTCCGGAGCAGATTAAACGATTCCCACACCTACGGTATTTTCGGTTGTGTGATGTAGCTTGCCAAGGCGACTTTACGGGCTGTCTTTCCGAGTTGAAATGCATCTGTTTGCATTACCCTCATCAAATTCCTTCCCTAGATCGCCATCCACAGTTTATGGCAACTAATTTGCATCTTGAAAACGTGGTTGTGATGAGTCTTTTGGGCCATGAGTTCACAGAAGATGCAGTCAGGAGCCTAATCAAGGTATGTTAGTTCCCCTCTGAGTCTTATTTTCTCATTCAATGAAGGACAAAATTTGAGGGATATATAGTTTGATTTTCTCATTAAGTGAGAGGATCAAATGACAAATGATACAAGTTGGGGGAGCCTAAATCCATGTTTATTCTAATTTTCTATCCTGATGTTTCATTGGCTTCTGTAGGGGGCAAGGAAATTGAAGGTTCTCACTCTTCAAAATGTTCAATCGTTACACTATACACCAACCTTTTCCGGATACTCAGTTTTAGAGAAGTTGATTATCTCTAATTGTCAATTTCTAAAGGAAATTGATTGCTCTATTGGGAAGCTGAGGTGGCTGACTGACTTAAGTGTTGAGTCATGTTCGGCACTTGGAAAATTGCCAGAACAAATTGGCGAACTAAAGAATCTTCAGCACCTCTCCTTTAGGAATTGTGGCAGCTTAAGGGAACTTCCCGACTCGGTTTCGTGTTTAGAGTCGTTGACAAAACTGGATATATCTTACACGAGCATTAAAAGATTACCGGATTCAATTGGTACACTACAGAGCCTGTCATTTCTCAGTGCATCCCGCACAAACATTGCGAAATTGCCTGGCACGATGAGCAAGCTTAGTCACCTCCAAACACTAAACCTATATGGTTGTCATGAGATGCAAGAGTTGCCGAAGCTCCCCAGAAGTTTGACCACACTACGGTTTAGATCTATTTCGTTGCAGATTGTCCCTAACCTCGCAAACCTTACTAATCTAGTTGAACTGCTTCTATCTGATGCCTCTGATTCCAGAAAGAGATCAAATATAATTCAAACTTGTGACTTGCCGTGGATTGGGAGGTTATCCAAACTGAGCAAGCAGCACTTGTGCCTTTCAAATGTCCACGCGATATCTACAGAGTGGGGTTCCCTTTCTCTACTAAAAGAACTTATTCTATATGGACTAGACTTGCAAACCCTCAAACAACTTCCGTCAAACTTGTCAGTTCTAGAGCTTCATCGCACTCGAGTGAAGCAAGTACATCTCGATGGGCTTCCTCAGTTAGAAGAGTTGACTGTCAGAAGTTGTGTACTCCTCGAGAGATTATCCATTCCATCAAGTTTGAGAAAACTGAGAGGAGCCGAGGTGTATCGTTGCAAAGAGCTAGTTGAAGTTCAATTTCTCGGTGTCTTAAATTCATTGGAGATTTTACTCATTGAGCAATGCGAATATCTCGAGAGGTTGGTTTGTCTGTCGGAGGAGCCAGGGTGTAGGGAGCTACAAGCTCCCGAGTTGACTGATGGTGGGAGGAGAGTGTCCCTTGTCTCAAGCTCCCTCAAGATGCTTCAACAATTCCACCTGCGGAGGTGCCGAGCGCTACGGGAGATTCAATTTGTTTCAACCTTGGAATCATTGGAAGGATTTTTTATTCTTGAGTGCATTTCGTTAAAAAGGTTGGGCGGTTTGTCAAACTTGAACAACTTGAAGCATTTAATAATTGGAGGGTGTAGGAACCTGCAGGATGTCGAGGGCATTGACGACTTAGAGTTTTTGCAGTGGTTGGAAGTTTATGGGTGCAGATCAATGGAAAGGATTATCAATGCATCGAGCTCAAAAATACCAAATGAGTGCCGAATAGAAATAAGGGATTGCAGGGAATTACTCGGCACCGGTACTTATGGTTCAAGCATCACTTACGAGTCTTACAGAGAGAAAATACTGCATGGACCAATACAAGGGTCGGACTCTGAAATTGAAACAACTAATTACGGCTGTGAAGCAGAAACAGGGGATCCTCAATTGGGAAAGGTGACCTTCTCTCAATTCATAGATCATCACTATTTGTTCTGCTTTATTTGCTTTCTATTTCTATAACAAAAGGGCCTTTCCTAAATAAAATTTAGGCCCGAGAGACCGCAGCCCACCTTGTCATTTCCTTCTGCAGGATCAGGAAAATAAAGAGAAGGAGAGAGAGAGAAAATTAGAGTCGGCAAAAGCAGGAGGGAAAAATCCAAAAGGTCTTGTGAAGTGGTTCGCTCTCTCAAAAAAATTCACACCAAGGTGTTTGTCTCAAAGAAGTCCGTGAAGTAAAGGAGCAATTCACTCCCAGCTTACCAGCAACTTATATCTTTGTCGACCGGCGAGCGCGTGCGTCTGAGGTGCCATTCTCCCTAGCATGGCCAGGGCATTTTCGTCTCGTTCTTTTCTGATATAACCCAATTGCACATGCCACTCACCCACTGTCGGGGGGCCTACAGCTACTGGAGATTCAATTTGTTTCTACGTTGTGATCAGGGGAAAATTTTTATGTTTGTGGACACCAAATAATGACCAACCCTCGAAATCGACAAGTAGCAAGCTCAGTTGACGAGAACAAAGCTTGATCGAAACATAAGTTGCCAACCAATAGAGCAATCAACAGCTTGAAGGGGATCGACGAGGGCCTTCACCAGCCGATGAGATTTCATCGACAGCCAACCATTCCATATTTTGCTAAGTGCTCTGTGAGGGTCTTCCAAGCTTCTTTTCCTTTTGTTTTCTTTTTCAAATGTGCTTCTCTTCCCTTCTCTTTGCTTTATGATGATAGATCTTTGAAATCTCAATTTCTTTCATTCATACCAGATTGTTCGTCACGTACAGCTCTGTTCATATGCCCTGCATTTCCTTTAGGTAGCTGAGCACTACGACCAGGTGATCGCCACCGATGCAAGCACGGCCCAGCTAAAATGTGCAGTGCAGCATTTAAGGGTCCACTACGTCCACACCCAAATACCCATCTCCAACGATGAAATCGTGACCTTAATCGGAGGCAAAAATCCGGTGGATTTGATTATGGTGGCTCAAGCCGTGCATGGGTTCAACTTCCCCAGTTTCTACTTCCTCGTGACCCATCTGCTCCGGAAGCTGGGAGGTGTGATTGCAGTGTGGTGCTATAATGATCTTGAAGCAAGCCTTATATTCGATCCAGTCATGAAACGCTTCCACGACGCTACACTGCCCTTCTGGGACCCCAGCCATGAAGTACTTAATTGATGGTTACAAGAAACTCCCTTTCCCATTTGAGAGTGTGGGGTAGGGATGCGAAGGTGAGCCATTGCCACTGGATATACCGAAGGTGCTCTCTTCCAGAAAGGTTTATGAGGAAGTCAGGGTCATGGTCCGGGGTTACTACAGCTAAGGAACATGGTGTTGATTTGTTATCCGAAGGCTTGGTGAGAGAGCTTCAGGATGCATGGGGTGGTCCTGAATTGGTCAGGTGCATTGTGTACAAGGCTTTCATGCTTGCCGGCACAGTGTAAGCTGTAAATTTCCGTGTCCTCTTTTGACTCCATTAGAATAGAATTGAACCGTCACGGGCGGTTCCAATGATCCGTTTGATTGCCATTTTTCACAAGCTGAGAACTTATGAAACCTGAGCTCAGACCTTGTGCTGAACTGATATGCAGATACTCTTATCATATCTCTGTCAAGCATGTCAAACTTGGTGGCCAAATGACTGACTATTAGTTGAAAGAGTGTTGAATGCCCACGTCCTTCCGGTCTCAAGCTCCGAGGAGCGAAACTACCTCAGTTTTTTCGTCTCTCTTGTTTGGCTCTTATCAGGTTTTATTCTTTCCCTTTTCAATAGGTCAAATGTTAATTCGGTCCTTTTTTCCCATCCACAACCAGACAATGGCATGCAAGTGCCCTATTCATTTGACGAACTTGTTTGGATTTTACTTCTGTTCCAATTCGGTGTATGCATTTCTAATTATTTATGCCGGTCAAACGGATGAGTCGGATCGGGTGGATGGTAAAAAATAGTCCGATCCAAATTGACCAATTTAACCTGTTGTGACCATTTTTATATGTAATGTAAATTTGGCGATCCATATTCAATCGGACTCATATTACTAAACACATTCAGAACATCATTTCTTGGCCAAGGATCATAATATCATCACCTTTAATGTTAAGGCAGTCTATGAGTGGACTCCTCTTGCAAGTGCCTCATTCAAATTGTCATAGGTGTGCTACATGATGACAAGTGGATTCACCAATTCAATCATATTGACTAAATCAGCATCTAAACTTGCAAATACGCAAGGCAGAGTAGTAGAGTACAGTGATTTCTAATTTGAAACACGGTGTCTTCAAAGTTCACATCATATCTAAAAAATTGTTGTAGGCTAATGTAGGCAAATAAGAGATAACATTATCAAAAAGCCTTGCCCACAAATGGATTTCATCTCCCCTACAAGCCTTATGGAATTTATTTTGTTCTGAAGTTGGACCTATGTGTTTTCAAACTTTATCAAGTTGAATGAAAATCCTTTTCCGATTAAAAAAATGCAAGCAAATAAGAGACAACACTTATCCAATCAGGCCAGATGATTTGACCTAGAAATCGCAGTTAATGACTTAGAGCCAAAGTGTTCTGTCATTAAGGTTTCAGGACATGAACTGGATATTAAGCAATTTATATAAGTTGATTTAAAAGCAGGAACAAAGAAGAGAACAATAATAACCCGATATTTAACCGAAAGCCTTTCATGTTCACGTAGACCGCGAATGATAACCATTTTATTTTAAAAATAGATTTTTAACCAGAAATATATTTTTTATTCATATTCTCTAGACGAGTTTCGGAATAGAGATACGCATTTGATAACGACACAAAATTTCTCTCTTTTACGCTTTTTTCCATTCATCAACCTTGTGGCAACCGGCGGTGTCAGGAAGCGGTAGGCGGGCGACCGCGGGGGGTGGTGGGGGCCGGCGGGAGGCGAGGGCGAGCAATGAGAAGATTTTTTATTTTTATTTTTGTTCTAAAAATAGAAAAATAAAATTGCGTTACTAAATGAATTTCTGTTCCAAACCTGTTCCCGGAAACACAAAAATAGAAAAACAAAGAAACAGAATAGTTATCATGCTCGCCTTAGTAGTTTATGGATGTCCCCCGCACAACGGGGTCTAGGGAGGTGTTTGATGTATGAGGAACAAAGACATTACTCAAAATTGATATCACATTGTTTAAATCAAAATACTACGGACTATACAATCTCTCCATTATCTATCTCCCTGTAAGAAGCCTCATCCGGATAAAGTAACATCCTCGGAGGCAAAACCCAATCTTTGGTAAGAGTTCCCAACTTATTGAGTCGTGGACATCAGGAAAAAATTGTCCAAAGAGTCATAAACTTATTGTACTTTTGCCAATTCAATGCTAAGCTTTTCAATTTTGCCAATTGAGTCCTAAACTTTTTCACATTTTGCCAATTCAATTTTGGCAGGAATTTGCTAACGTGGACGCCGGCCGTCCTACTTGGCACAGCTAGCGCTGACGTTGATAATTTTAACAGCATTTTAATTTCTTTTCTTTTCTTTCTTTCTTCTTCCTCCTTTTGCCGGTAACGGGCCACCAGCCACAAGCGGTGATGGCCGGTGGCCAGTCACTGGCAAAAGGAAGAAGAAAGGAAAAAAAAGAATGAAAAAAGAAAAAATTAGAAAAAATAATGAAAAATCGAAAAGATTAAAATATTATTAAAAATTGTTTACGTTAGCGCCGGCCATGCCACGTAGGACAGCCGGCATCCACGTCAATACATTCCGGCCAAAATTGATCGGATGGACTCAATTGGTAAAATTAAAAGATTTAGGACTAAATTGGCAAAAGCACGATAGATTTATGACTTTTTTGGACAATTTTCCCTGAACATCAGTGATTACTGTCATAATTTGAGACAAAAATCAACACATTTCCAAAGGGCTATCACAGCGAAAGTCGCAAACAAAGAGAGGTATGGATGTCACTCACTGAACTCACCAAAACGAAGGACGAGATGAAGAAAGCCAAAGACAGAACAATGCAGTCATGGCTAGACTCTCGTTCTCTCCTCGACAAGCACGAGAAACTACAGGCCCTATTGAGCGCCCGGAGCAATGCCTCAATGTCGAGTGTCCTCGTCTCGGAGCTACAGTCCCAGCTTGAGTCCACAGAAGCCTCGATCCAGGCCAAGAAGAGGACGAGCTTGAGTTGGAGAAGGATGCCGACAAGCTCACTGAGGCACTAGATCGAACACGTGAGGGGATGAACACACACAAGAGATCGACGAGGGGCAGCAGGTGAGACAGAAGCTGAAGGAGGTCTTGCGTGTGAAGCGACAGAGGCTCCCAGTAAGATCAAGTGACGCGTGAAATGGGGAGCGCGCAAGCGAAATCGAGTAATGGCCACAGAGGGAGAGAGCAGAGAGAGCATTGCAACTGGGTTAGGTTTGGCTTAGAGTCTAAACCCATTGAAACCCATATTTATATTGGCCATACTATTCCAAACCCAATAATAACTCAATTGTCAAATTTTACCGACCCATATAAAGATTCAGCACATCAAATATAAGTTAAAAAATGGGTCAAAATCCATTTTGACAGCTCTAGTCTTGACATTCATATCGTAACATCGGGTGGTGCAGCTTCCTAATAATGGCAAGGCTAGTGAAAGTACAAAATCTCCATAGAGAACGGAAGAATACATCATAGTCGAATAGTGCGAGAGATATCATAGACCTCCTTTTAACTTCCCACCCTGCATGAGACTCGGAAGAAGTCGATCCGGCCGTATGTGCTTCGGAATCTGGTTTATCTAGATCCAGACTCATTGTAAAATCCTGCATGTTAATATCGTGGAGAGATAGAGATGATAACTGAAAAATGAATTGATTTGACAAAATTCGCTTATTCTTTTTCATTCTGTCCCCATAAATTGTATGTGCATCTCTTTATCTCATTGACCGTGCAAACTTCAAGTACCACTATCACTAATAGTGTTTAGACATGCCTTGCCTAAAAATAAAACCAAAGATGACCGTCGGAACCTGCCTATAATTGCAAAACTGAAAACGTGCCAAAAATTCTACACACTGAACTACATTCAATGAATTTCGCAACCATTCACTCTGCTATCTTAGTTTTCAAATCTTCCCTGCTTTCTTTCATGCTTAAGCTTGTAGTTTAGCACAGACTAGATCTTTCAGTTTCTGAAAGTTTAAAAACTTTTAGAACGTTTAAGAAATTAAGAAAGCAAAAAGGATGAAGCTTCAAATACCAGCTAAATTATGAAGTCGAAGACAAGCATCAATGAACCATAAGAACCTCGAATCCCTGCAGCCAAAGCAACAGCCTAGCAACAAATCTAAATAGTAAAGAGGGAAAATTCCAAATAAGGATATGAAGTGTCTTCATTTTCTCAAATAAAGGCCTAAATTGACCTTGTCTCAAATAAGGACCTAAAATAGCTATAACAGTTGCAAATAAGGGCCTCATCCCACCGGCTTGCCGGCCGGCCAAATTTTCCCACTGGTCAAGGGCATTTTCGTCTAACAATAATTTTAACATTAATTTTAGTTAAATTAGATTAAAAATTAAAAAAATTAAAAAAAGAAAAAAACAAGGGGGATAGCTGGTGGTCGACACCCCATCGCCGGTGGGGTGGCAGCCATGGCCGGCGACCCTCGCCGGCCAGAGGCGAAGGCCACAGGCCCACACCAGAACTAGGAGAGGGCAGCAACCCTTTCCCCAATCTGGGCG